AATATTTATTTTTTAGTTCTCGGCGGACACAACATCTTTGTTGGTATGTGGTGCTGAGGATCGAACCCGGGCCGCACGCATGCCAGGCAAGCATGCTACCGCTTGAGCCACATCCCCAGCCCCTCAAACAAGATTTTTGAGCACAATCTGATAGTAAGTTAAAGATTATCTTTGATGGCATGGAAAACCCCACATCATATTTATAGTTGAATTTATATTGTTAGTATTTCACAAATAGTAAACATTTATGAAAGACAAAGAATATCTGCTATAAAATTAGAATGCTAAAAATATGGTACAAGTGATTCTGAAAGTAATTCAAAATACATTCTATCTGGGTTTGTTCTGCTATCTGTTCTTTTTTGTAGACAATCTGCAGTTTTCTTAATAACACTCAATATAGAAAAGGTTAAGTTGTTAGGAGAATGTGTTTCATGCTTTGAAACAAAAAAAAAGTTTTTTTTAGTATAGTCAATTTTTATTGCATAGTAATATAACAAGATATAAATGTTAAGGCTATTTGTGGTCATCTATAAAATGCATGCTCTGTACTTCAGATGGCCATATAGTCTGTATTATACTCATTTTCATGCATATATATGCTATGCCTTATTATATGTATGCATATGTTAATATGCATATTTACATTTAGTATTTGCAGAGTACTTAATTACCTTATATATATCAAAGTAAATATCTTATTATTTTAAAAATTAAGTTTAGTATACTTAAAACATTACAAATATCCTTAAAATAAAAGCAATCATTCATTCTAGAATTATAAATAATTACATTTTCAGACCCCCTTATTATATGTTACTTAAATTTTATTTTTAATAAAGACACTGAGTTAGATCAAATCAAGCTATAATTATTATGTGCATACTATTTAAATTACCACATTTCAATTTCTTGACATTAAAAACAATAAACTCTGCCATCTTAATTGTTGTCATACTCCAAAGAACATAAACTGCTTTTATTTTTATTTTTTATTTTATTTGTTTATTTTAGTTCCTGGGGATTGAACCAAGGGGCACTATACCACTGAACTATACCTCCCTCCAGTCCTTTTCCATTTTCATTTTGAGACAGGGTCTCAGTAACTTGCTTAGGGCATTGCTAACTTGCTGAGGGTGACCTTGAACTTGACATCTTCTTGTCTCTGCTTCCTGAATCTCTGATATTAGAGGTGTGTGCCTCTACACCAGCTCATAAACTACTTTTGCCAAATAAAAGATCACATTTTATATCCAAGATGCAGAACAATAATACTAAACAAAACAATGTTAGGGAAGCAGAGACACTAAAGAAAAATACATTGGTACAGTTTCTTTTAAATAACATATATATTTATATGTGTGTCTTTATATAACATATATAAATATCTAATATATAAAAATATATAATACATAAATAATGTAAAGCCATTATTCTGTTTTTATATGGTGAAATTTAGCATTGTAGTTATTATAATGTAACTTTTATAATGATTTGATATAATATAAATATATATATGTACATATATGCACAAAAACCAAGTTTCCTGAAAGCTAATAATGGCTTTGATTGTAAACAAAAATCAATGAAGTAGATACTTATGTTATTAATATTTATAATTTTTGTATTGTTTTATATTATGTATTTTGATATTATTCCATATTTTTATGATATTGAATTGTATATGACTTTTTGCTCTGCTAACAGAAATTTAAGGGTTGTTCGGTCTTTCTCTTGCTGAAAGATATAAAAATTAATATAAACTTTAACAAACACCAGAGGACACTTTGTAAGTGAGATCTTGAATATAGTTCTGTTAATTGATACTCAGAAAATTAAATAATTAGGCAGGCCTTTTACCTGAAAGACACCCGGTGACTGAGAGAAACAGAATTAGTGTCCAAAAGGAAGCCATCCTGGGTCACTGGAATCTTGTGTGCTCCAGCGTGTCTATCAGTGCTGATATTTCTTCATTAAAGATTGCCCTGTTGTAATAGATAACAACTTTCAAAAACAGAGAAAATAAATGACACAACAACACAAAAGTCTCCTAACATGATAAATGACATAGTGGAAAGGTCAGATGAATATACACTTGAACATTGACCACAATAAAATAGTTTCTGTTACAACTCAATTAATGCACAGCACAAAAACTTCAGAGAAGTGATAAAGTCTCACTATCACATTTATTTATGTAGGATATTCCCTTACAGATAGTAAAAACATCAGGTTCTAATGGGGATAATTTTTCCTCACAGAGAATGTATAATAGCCATATTTATTACATTAGACAAACTATTGTACTAGAAAAATAGGGTAGAGGAACCAGTTACATTAATATATGCTCCTGTGCTCTAGAACATAACTAATGATCAGTTAGCCAAGTGATTTTACACATTGTGCCTGTAAACTCCACAGGGAATACTTCTCATTTAATTATTAATGTCAACTGCCTTTGTTTATAACTCCTGTGATTATCTGTACTTGTTAGAGTTCCCTCCTTTGGTGAGTTATTTCTCTCAGCATCTTTTGCTAGCCAGAACCTAAGGGAAATAAGGATTTTCATGAATATTTAATATCTTTGTCTAATGCCATTTTTATAACAATAACCGGTATAGCACATTAATATCCTTAATTTCTTTTTTCCCTGAATGATAGAATAAGTGTAAAAGAATATAAAATTCTAACACTGAACTTTCTGTAAGAATTTGACAAATACATATTGGAAATTTCTGTCCTATACAAGCAGTTTCAGATTTTTGGGGTGCTAGCTGTGATTCTCTTGGCCAAAGATGACTCAATTGAGAAATAATTGCCCAGTAGGTTGATGATTTTTATACAATAACTGCTTTCTTGGTGTGAACCTTCTTTATTGACTTAGGCATCCAGGTTATGTCTATCTTTAAGGAATAGCTTAAAAATATAGACAAGCATTCTTCCCCTTACTTACTTACAATTTAATATAATTATACTAAAATAGGGAGTCTCTTGTTAATTCTTCTCCCTGAATAAAGCTAGTTCCATTTCATTGATATTTTAAAATATATACCTTGGTAGTCTTTTTAATTTCATGGATATGGATCACTAGTAGAGAAGAAAGTTAAAAGCTAATAATGGCTGATTTATTTTTAACTACCTCTCATCAGAAAGAAACTTTCCACTGCTTTTTATTTTGTCCTGAATAAATATCAGAAACAAATACAATTTAAAGCACAAAAAATGGCCTCATAGATAAATTTTACAGTTTAGAACATTTTTATTATTTATAAACTGTTCTTTACCAGAAACGAAAAAAAAAATAAATAAAATAAAATGAACATATCCCATGCAGCAACTGAAGAAACTCAAAGTTTGCTAGAACTATAATTATAATTCATGAGAATAGCATATTTGAATAAGTTAATTTTCATTTCATAAGAAAATTGTCCTTCCTTGAATGTGAGTCCTGTGAATGTAATATAGTTTTGAGTAAACTTGAACTTGTTTGATGAGCTTCTGCTCATTCCCGTGTCCCCCCAAATTGTCCTTCCTTTCTCTATTATCAATGTCTCAGTATTCTCTGTTGTCTTAAACATTTAACATCAAAAATGCTAATACGCCTGGAGCGCTGTGTGCTATGCATTAGGAATGTTGAAGAGAAAATCCACATACATGTGTGCTCCTCTGCATTCTACAGACACGGAAGGGAAACATCACAGAGAGCCACCAGCAGGATGCCGTGTAAGTGTTACATAGAGAAAGAGCTATGTAAAGAAGAGCTGATTCCTAAAGATGGCAGGAGCTGGGAATAGTAGAGCAGGATCTTCAATAAAATGGCAAGGCAGTCATTGGCCTTCTGGTGGTCTCACCACCAGAGGAAAGAGGGTAAATTTGAAACAGGTTCAGGCAAAGCCTCTCTGATAAGATGTTGTGTGGGCTGTTTTGAAAGAGTCTTTACATGTATACTCCAGACATTTTGTTTCCTTAATCTCTAATATAAATGAGGTAGATTGGATTTGATTGCTAAGAAACCCATTTTATATTAAAAGCTCTTTAGAAAAGAAAATGTGTGTGTGTGTGTGTGTGTGTGTGTGTGTGTGTGTGTGTGTTCTCAAGCATCAATACTTGGTTCTGAGGGATTAAACACACAAAATACCACACGTTCTTATGAAACAATGTGCTATGGTTTGGATCTCAAATGTTCTCCAAAGACCAATGTATTGAAGCTTAACTGTCTTCCTGTGATGATATTGGTGGAAACTTCAGCAGGTGGGAGCCAAGTGGGAAAGAATAGGTCATTGGGGGCATGCCCTTGAAGGTTCTCTTCTCCCTCTTCTCTCTCCTTGCTTCCTGGCATACCAGGAGGTGAGCAGCTTGTTCTACCAAATGTGCTCCCTGCCATGAGGTGCTACTGCTTTGTCATAGACCGGATATCAGTGGACCAATCAACTATGCATTAAAACTTCGAAAACCATGAGCCAAAATAAATATTTTCCTGCTTATTAGTTGATTATGTTAGAAATTTTGTCTAAGAGAAAGCTGACTTTAAATTCTCTCTCTCTTCCCTCCCCCAAGGGGGAGGGGAAGATACCAGAAATTCAATTCAGGGGCACTCAACTACTAAGCCACATCCCCAGCCTTATTTTTTTCTATTTTACTTGGAGACAGGGTCTCACTGAGTTGCTAAGCACCTTGCAGTTGCTGAAGCTGGCTTTGAACTCAAAATCCTCCAGCCTCCACCTCCCTCGCCATTGGGATTACAGGTGTGTGCCACAGCACCCAGCTTCTCTCTTGTTGATTAAAGTAAAAAGTATACGTAACAATCTCAAAACTCTGAATATGTGAACCTTTTATATGCTTTCCTTCAAAACACATTTATCCTATGACTTTAAGAAAATTACTATATCAAACTAATAATGAAAGGTAATTTATCACACATATTAAATTCCTTCTAGATGCCAGATTAAATTATAATCAGTAAATAAATGTCACCTTAGTAAATCAGAATGGTATGTATTTAGAAATGCCTTATTGGAGATTAACAGGTAAATATAACACTTGTTGTTCACAGAGAGATTGAAAAGCCAGCAATACTAATTTGGAAACTACCAATCAGAAACATATTTTAAAAGCCTTCAATTTTTTTTTAAAGAATTTGTTTCAGTGCTTAGAATATATACCCATTATCACATGTGATATGTAAAGACCACTGATCGGAATGACCTATTTCTCTGCATTTATCTGATTTATTGCAGTTATTTGTAAGCAAAGTATAATAAGTAATCATTGTATCAGGTTTCAGTTACAAATTATAAAGAACAAATGCATTGTGGGGTTGACGGCCTGAACAAGCATTTAAAAACATCACACCTTAATAGAGCTAGTTATATGCTATATAAAATAAATGAGGTAATAATATATTATTGCTTAACTACAAGTTAGTCTTTCTCTTAAAGATCCGCAAAGGAGACCTCTTTCAATGACATGTGAAAACAGAGAGAGGGGAGGGATGTTTATTATAGACTACTGACTTCTCCCCAGTTCTATATGGGTGGTGCCTTATGGGCAATTGTCATACAGCAGTCAGAATTATATTTTAGAACATAAATCAGATTGTACCATATTTCTGTGTTTTGCTCTTAAAATAAAACCCCAAATAAGTAATATTGTTTACAGGGCCATATGTGCTCTGATGCCACCTTTCTGTCTTCATTTTCTAAACATCCTGAACTTACTTCATTCTCAGACTCAGTTTCTTGCTGATTTTTAAATAGGCCAGGCATTCCTGTGTCTTCTTTCTGGACATCTCCAAAATCACTCCTTTTTCTACCTTACAGTTGTAAATCATCAAAAATTGATCCTTTAACCTTCTAGAGGCCCTTCTTGATCCCTCTGTTTAAAGCAAGCCACTTCCTGCTAGCCCTGTCACCAATTTTCCCTCTTATTTTTCTTCTTAGTAATTTTTGGTACCTAAGGTTACACTTTTATCTGTGTATTTATTATCTTTTTCTCCTACTCAGTGTCATATACATGTAAGTAATGATGTCTGTCTCATTTATCTTCATAGATTCAACTTCTAGAAAATGATTGGCATTCAGTAGGCGTTCATTTACTCTATTTTAGATAACAATTATTGAATAAACTGTAGTCTACAGTGAGCACATTATTTAGTATAAGAAGAAAGATACCACTGTTTCTCATATTTCTGTAGCACTTGTAACATTGTGCTAAGCCCTTCACTGTCCAACTTCTAGTAATGTCTTATGAATAAAGATAATTTATCCAAGATATTTTATAGATATTTACCTAGTAAAGACAGAGTTGGGGTGAGAACTCTGTTAACCCTTAAACTGTCTCATCTCACACAGGATTCCCAGCAATCCCCCCAACAGTCTCTAGAGCCATTTTATCTGCCCTAATTGAGACTAATTGAGTTAATAAAAATATTTAAAAACAACTCAAACATGCATACCTTTAATGTTGTCATCTGGCTAATATTTTTTTTTATATTCCTAGACAAAAGAGATTGAAGATGAGGAAGAAGTGATAGGAAAGGGAAGAACAGAGGAATCAATCCAAATCAGATTTTCATATGTGCATAGGAGGATGTAGCACAGTAGGTCCCAGCCTCAGGTGTATCTACAGGACACTAATGAAAAAAAAAATGTAAATTGTAAATGGATTGAAGAGGGATAAGTGGAGGGGAGGGAGAGGAACAGTGGTGGGGGCAGGGAAGTGCTGAGGACTGAATTGGAACAGGTTATGTTCCATGCTCTGATTATGTCAGAGTGTATATCAGTATTTTATATAACTAAAATGAATTTTTAAAAAGGAGTCTTCCTAATTAGGAATATTTTGGTGGACATATTCTCACTTTTATTTATTTATTTCATCCAAATACTCTTACTATTGTATCTTCATAATTCTAGGATTTTCATAAGGCATATTTAAATAACACAATTACGACTACATGTACAATCTGCACAAACAGACTTTAGACACA